TTGCCAGAGCAAATTGTGGGGCTATCTTAGGAAGGAAAAGTCGAAGAGCCGAGTTTCACAAGCTTCTGAAGAGAAAAATTTTAAAATAAGATAATTTTTAGTACTGTTATTGTGAAAGATTACAGAATAGGCAACTATGATAAGAAATGCTTATTTGATTTGATAGTGTGAGCTCATTGTTCATTAAAATTCATTTTATGATTATTAAAGCATTTAAAAAAATATATTAAACTAGTAAAAAAGAAAATTCTGTGAAGAAATTTTAATTCTCTTAAAAAAAATTTTTTTATTTTTTTGGAGGGGAAGAGGGATAAATTTTATTTTTCGCAGTACAGTTTTAATAAATGAAACTTATTTCTTTTGTTTTCTAAAACTTAAAAGTGAACCAAGAAAGAAAAGAAAAGAAAGATAGAGTGGTAAAGAGCTTAAATAAAATAAATTGTAATTATCCTTGTTTATCAGAAACGAAAGTATATGATATAGTATAGCACTATAAACAAAGAACTAAGATTTTACATTTACAGCTTTAAAAAAGTTATAAATGTAAAATACATTTAGAGAAGTTTTTGCTGATACTAGAAATTAATAAAACATTATGCCACAAGTCAAATGATTTAGGTAAACGGGGAAAATATTATTACGAAATCACTATGAAATCAATTTTTTTCTGTGACTTAATTTAAACTTTCCATAAAGATCTAAATCGCTCTAAGAAATTGACACTTTTGAAATTCTTTTACTTGAAAAGTAAGAATAATAGCTTGTCGGTAAAAAAGGACTAGAGGGAAAATAATCCTTTATCTAGCTGCTTTTTACATTGGGTGGTTTTGCCAAGCCAACTTCCCACCACTTTTTACACTAACAAAAAAGCTTTGCTTTTAGACCACAAAGTAGTAGTCCAAACGAAAAATAGAGAAAGAAATCCTCCGGTGGAATCATTAAGCTAGGCGAAGTAAAAGACGGAGCTCCTTGGAAAAGAACCCTCCTTTTTACTCTACTCTCTGAAGAAGTTGTAAAAGAAAAAGAAGAAAAAAAAAACCATTTCTCCTGGATAGACACCGAAGTTACTTTCCAAGTGGTACAAAAAAATAACTATAGCTACGAACTAGGGGTAATACGAAGGGGATGTATAGGTTTTTAAGTCCTCTCGACGTTTCTCTTAAGGGACTTTATGGATGGAGGAAAAAAAATATACAGGGACTTAAACGCAGTGGAAAAGTAAATAAATGTGCAACGGAAAAAGTCTCTGGGAAAAAAAAGCACTTTCTGTCAATTTCGACACAGCTAACTCTCTATCCATCTAGTATGGAACAGGAAACGGGACGCAGGATGGGTCGTACGCACACCCACTCTCTCTATAAAAAATTGATTTGCACGTGGCCCTGCTACGATAAATCTGAATCCCGAAAATGCCCTGTCAGATTGTCCACCAGGGAGACACTCATCTTCCTGGTCTTGCAGCTTTAAAACGAGAAGGGAAAAAAGATACAAGAATGATAGAGTAAAAAAAAAGAAGAAAAAAAATGCAGCTCCAGTACTCTCCCGATCTAGCTTCAAAGTGGTTAAAAATTTCGGAATTTCGCTACAGGGCGGGAGGGAAGGTCAATAGGACGACTTTGTTGCGGAAAGAGATGAATTGAGGAGTGTAATGGGAAAAGGCCATCTTCGGGTGTTATGAAGATGAGACTATCCGACTACCGTATCGATATCCCCGCAAACGTATCAATACTTAGCAGTGAGCGGACGGGTAGTAAGGGTAAATCTTATGCAAATTAGGTCGAAGGGGTTAAATGGATAAAAGTCCCCCTCAAGGGGTTAGGGCAAGGTCATCATTAAAAAGGGCTTACCTCGTGTCCGACTTCCCTGCCGTACGTACCTAATTGCTCCGCAGAGAATGGTGATAAAAACAAAGTTTTAAGAATGAAATAAATTTCTTTGGGATACCTTAGGATTAAAGTTTCGAAGAGGAAACAGAAACTTGGTGGGGTGGACGAACGATGCAATGTTGCAAAAGTAAATGAGTAGGGGGGAAAAAATCGAAAGATAATATTCATTTGAATGGAAAACGGGAGGTTTTTACTAGCACCTGAAGATTTTTTGGGTTTTTCTGCTTTAATACTGATTTTTTTTAGATGTAAGCTCTCTATAATTAAACATTTGTTTAATCCTCCCTTCCATAAAAAAAGCAATAAAAAGCTACTTTTTGTAACTTAAAATTCATTTAAGTGTTGTGTTTCAGTTCAAAAAAAAAATTTAAATAAGTAATTTATACTCTTTAGTTAATGATAAAAAATAAAGAAAGAAAGTATTATATTCATTGAATTGAGTCAGAAAAATAAAATCAATTTTTTTTCCCTTTTATGGAACTCTATTAGAATAAGTTCCAGTTTTATTTCCGTCATTAAATAATTCAAAAGAAAGATTGGTGCATTCATTATTAACAAATTTATTATTATTTTTTTTTTGAGTGAGTTTAAATTTATCTGCATAAGTTATTTTTAATTTTAAAAAATGGCATGCATCTTATAAAACAAAGAGAACAATCATTGAAAACACGTCTATGTGGGGTTTCTATTTCACCCCCATAAGTAATTTAAAAGTTAAAAAATAGTAAAAAAGGAATTATAAATCAAGAATATACCTTGAAGCTACAAATGAACTCTCAAAACTAAAACTCTCTCTTCTTACGATTCAGCAATCATTGAGCCGTATTTTGTTAATTTAGAGCCTGAGATCACGTGATTTGTGATGGAGTTCTAATTCACAAATATGTGACTAAAAAGTTTCCTTTATTGGAAACCTCGTCGTGGTGCATTGTGGGAGATTGCTAATTAAAATGACGATATTAGAATGAAGACTAGACGGTCGAAACTCACGAGCCAGACCAAGCCTACATTCTGTATAGTGGTCAGGGAATTGACCTCGCACCAAGAAGATCAAGAGTTCGAATTCAGTTTCGGGCAATTTATCTACAATTATCTAAATTACAATTTATCTCATTCCTTTACCAAACTTGTCAGTTACAAATTATTTAACTATTTCAAAGTTAGTTGGCATAAATTAATCTTTTACACTAAAGATTCATCATCTTTTGAATTCCGGATACAATAAACATTTGCTTTAAATATTTGTCAGTAAATTTTATAATATGTCAACAATTTTAAATTTGCCAATAAATATTTACTATTATCGTCTACTGTTTTCTGTAGCCAAATGATTATTACACTTTTATAAGAATTTTTAAAAAGAGGAGGGAAGGAAATGATAAATAAGTTGTTTAGACTAGAGCACTCTATATGGCACAGCAATCTGTGTAGTAAGTTGACCATGACCTAAAGTTTTTTTCATAGTTTCAACTTTTCTTACAGATCATTTCTTATCTTTTTCTTATAAGCCAACGATCGCCAAAAAAAAACAATATTCAATAATGCGATTGTTAACTCAGTCGACAGTCAGTGTTAAGTATATAGTCCAAAAAGATAACAATTGGATGCATGCTTTTTTAAGCAGATGATTTAGCGCCAGCTTTTGTCTTTGATGTTTGCGTGTTGCCCTAACACCATCCGAGGAAAGGTAGGTGCTGCTTATCGGATTACGAAATGATGACCGACCCCGCGGATCAAGAAGAAATGCAGAACCCGACCAATAGAAAAAAAGACCCAACAAGACGCCTTGTTACAGAGGCCACCTTAAATGTTCATGTAAGCTCAGGATTAAAATGGCGTCCAGCATAAGTATTTTGTACTTCTTCGGGGCTAGGTATTAATTGCCTGTAATGAAATGCCCGGAGAAAAGAAACACGAAAGTTGGCGACACGCAATTTTAAAAACACGATAACGTTTTTCTTGTGTTTTAAGTAGTTGTGATATCGACGGATTAACGCTGAGGGGAATAACAATGAATAATTAGTTTTGTTGGTAAGATCGCAATAAAATTTGCTTTCAAGTCTACAGTTTATAAATAAACTTGCAATAAAAATTTATGGTGCTGTTTACTATGAATGTTAAGTAATTTTTATTTCTAATAATACCTATTTCTAGTATGTACTGATTCTAATAATGCTTTTTTCTTACATCATGGTTTATAATTCAGTTTGTTGAAAGCACGTAAATGCTGCTTATATTTACAAAAATGTTNTAGTTTGTTTAGTATCCAGTAAGGTTTTATTTTAATAAGTAAATATTATTATTTTATTCTCTTCATTGTATATACTTTATGAACCACGCCATAAGAATGGTACTCTTTATAGGGCTTACGACAAAAATAACAAATAAGACTTTCAAAGTTGCATCAATGTTTTACCTCATAAAATCTACTCGAAATAAAAAAAATTAATAAACTAAAATAAAATAAAATAAATAAAGAGGCATCTTTGATGCCTCCCTTTTCTTTTGATAACTATCAAAATGCTCAATTTATATTTCTGAAGCATCAAAAATACCCATAAAGTATCCTAAATCATTTTAATACTTCCAAAATGGTCCTATATGTTAAGATATTGTGGTGCCACCTGTTTATCAAATAACGAACTAACATTAAATAGGCCGATGATATTACATGAAGAAAGAAAATAGATATTAGCATTCGCAGTTTTATTCAACTCAACAAATAACTTTACATGCATTTTTAGAATATGAATACATTATCTTTCTGAACTCATGCATTTTATGAATAAATATTATAAGAAAAATATATATTATAAGAAAAAGTAACAAAGGAGATTTTGGAATTTTAGGGAGAAAAGGTTCTGAGAGTTTTCTAAATAAACCATGGGACAATTTAGGTTTTAATTCTAATATTAGTGTTAGAAGTTGTTTTTAATTATAGTATTAATTTATTAAAAAAAAAACTTTTAATCTGGGGTTAAAATAACTAAATTTTACCAAAATTATAATTGTTCTTTAAATTTTCCGGTATATTTTTGCTGCTCTTATTTTCAATTTACTTGAAGAATTGATGTATATATATATATATTTGCAAATAGGTGAAAATTGCTTTACCGTGGCTGACCCATCCATGTCCACAGCCATCACAAGTTCGAATTCGAGATTTACAAGGTGAGAAGCAATCACAGGAACAATTAGCTGAAGTGCATCGGATAGCCTGAAAAAAAATATATATAAATAAACAAATTTTTCAAAAGAAATTATAGATAAGGGAAGATAATGTTTCCAAAGTGTACGAAAAAAGAAATTACAGCGACGAGAAAAAATTTTTAGCACACAGAAAATATTATAAATATGAGATTAAGTTTTAAAGTGCACGGAAATTATAGACACCAGAAAAATTCTTGCACGGAAAATTGCAGATACGAGAATAATTTTCAAAGTGTGCTAAATAAATAACTAATGGTTATACAATGACTTTCAAATTGTATTGAAAAAATAATTTTTAGATGGATACAAGAATTGACATTCAAAGAGTGATGAAAGAAGAAATTATAGATGCGACATTAATTTTTCCGAATCACTGAAAATTATAGATACGACATTAATTTTGGTGAAAAATCTGATTTAGTGTATTGTGCTCTTACATATGGAAAATAACAAAAATTTGCTAAGTACCTACCCAGATTATTATTATAATTTTTTTTTTTTTTTTTTTTTTTTTTTTTTTTTTTTTTGAAGTAACATGCATAGACAGCACAAACTGAAAGAAGTTATAAGAAATACACTGGTCAACGACATATGCACGCCAATTAATCTCCCCTTGGTAACTCTCTATTACTACCCCAAGTATTTTAATTTTAGAAAATGTTTGCGCAACAACAAAATCCTTTATGCATAATATTACAATTAAACAGCAAACAAAAACTATTTTACGTAATTTAACGTAATTTTTAACGACACAAAATTAAATATGACGTCAGAAATCCATAAAACAATGTAACAAAAAGTGCCGCCAAAGTGAGAATCACTTAAGAAATATTCCTTGAGAATATTCCTTCTGAGAGTTCTGAAAGGGTGGGCGCAGAATTTAAGCATCAAAGGAACCGACTTTTCTTCTGAGATTATCGGGGACTTGTGTAAAAGGATGTCATAATTTGTTGTCGATCACTTGGCGGTCCAAGGCATCTGCTGGCTAGAGATAAAGTACCACGACTTCCCGATCTGCCCTTTTACCCCTCTTATCGATGTACTCGAGAGGGGAGAAGTCTAGGGGAAAAAAACGTATCACCTAATAAAGAAAAATGATATAAAAAAATTCGGGTAGTTTCACTCTCGTCATCTTTGCGACACTGATAGTGGTGGAGATAAAAATGTGCCACGGTACTTTACCCAACCCCCATCGGATCACATCGTCCGTCGCGGTCCTCTGAAAGAAAAAGAGGACGTCGCAAAATTGCGAGACTGTCTTGTTCGTAGCTCTCAAACTAGAAGAGAGCTTGGCTGAGGGGGAAAAAAAGATGAAGTGATTTTTCTGCAAATATTGAATAGTAAATTTAAAAATATACTAGCCTCGTTTGGCGACCAGCTTGGTCTCATTTTTAAAAATATCTTGTACAACATAAAAAAATCGATGGTAACAAAGTCCAATGCACAGCACAACTGGTTTTAAATATTCTAATTCTACAACCCTTCTTCAAATCCTAAACGATCTTAAATAATTTATTAACCCCAGCGTCTATGCCAGTGCGAAAGTACTTTGATCCCAATATTAACTGCAAGAGATTAACTTTCAAGAGATGCCAAAGATATTGTTAAAGTTTTTTATTTATTTAATTTTAGTAATAATTTAAAACTTGTCGGACAGCAATTAAATCATACAGACCACTGCAAGTATGAGTTCGGGACATTTCAGCATATATATA